CAAAACTCGATACACAGATACTCTCAAAGATAGTAAGGCAAAAAAACATGAAGCTGAAAAATTCGTATTATTCCACTATGAAATTACTAAATTCTCGAAGATATTAGTAAAACACATTTGTAAAGAAAAAAACGTTAATATTGCATTTAATTTTTCTTATATCATAATATGTTTTATTTACTTGCAAACAAAGATCAAATCGACGCACCATAAATCCTCACTCTGTCTAATATCCCAGAAATATCATAAATTGTTTTTGCTGTTGAAGTAATTCCGAAATAGACATATTCATTATAAAGAATATTTTCTAGAACTGTTATCATTTATATAAAATAATATTAAATAAAATATAAATATTTCTTTTACTTGTTTTTGTTTTACTGATATCCCAGACAATTTTCTACCTCAATATTGCCTGATGAAAAGTGTTTATCTAATCTTAATTTATAGTTTGTATATTGAATTTTGAAACGCTCTGTACAAGATATTGTTTTAACTCGCTAGTATTAACAATCTAAGGTCTTCGAGAAAATTTTCGAAACTTCGTATAAGCTATTAAAAGATAGAGAGAGAAAAATTGAGAAATAAAGGAGGAAGAGAGAGAGAGAGAAAGTCGGATTTAAACGATTTAACGCAGCGTCAAGCTAGAAAATTCATGCATCTCTGAAACCATCAAAATCAACGATAAGTTGAGCGTATCAAAGCCAAAACTCGTTAAATCCTCTCAAACCGTTATTTTAACGGAAAAGATGTAATAGAAGCTCGTTTGGCTATTAAATTAATTCAACGTTCGATCGAAAATATTTCTCAAATTTAAAAGATACACTTTTGTGATACATATTATCATTTTTAACGAAAAAAAAAAAAAAAAAAGAGAAAAGAAAAATACAAATCGATTCTTTCGTATGACCGAAAATTCGCATATTTTTCGTTCCATGAAATACAGCCATTTCCATTCATTATTGTTTTCTTTTTTGTACGACCTTAGATAGGCACATAGAATAGCTTACAAATGCAACAAAGTATATGCATCGTATTTCGTCGATAAAGTCAGGATAGCTTTCACATTGCTCGTTCCTGTGGGTATTGGCACTGTACAAGACTATATATGAAAAAAAAAAAAAAAGAAAAAGAAAAAATATTTCTATCTGTAATAGCGCATCCATTTCTATCTACCTCTCTATCTCTACTATACAGAAGGACGTGAACATATCTATCTATCTACCCCTGTAGGGCAACGAGAACGCGATAATTCCCCTAGGAGAGATTATCGAGAGAAAATAGCGGTAAAAAGCTCATGCCTTCGCACAGCTTTAACCGGGTGACCGCAATGCAACAACGTATTTCATATACGTATATTCATACACACAATTCTACCAAATATGGTGCATTAAAAATCAACGAAAGAGTAAACACGCTACGCGGAAGCTTTTCAAACGAACGAATAAAACAAAGCTGCATTCATGAATTCGTTTGTTATATATCAATAAGAAAAATTTCGCGTATGTTAAATATTACAAAGGAAATGGGATCTCATAGCAAAATTTTTATATCATCTTTTTTTATCTCTTTTTTTTAGTAAATAAATCATTTTAATATATATTTATATATGAAAGTTAAATCTAATTAGTTATCTCTTTAAAGTATTTTAAAGAGATGCATATTAACAGTATACAATTCAGATGCATAATTAGACAATTAAATTATTATAATCGTGTAAGCGAGAGCGTGTAAAGAACTTAGAACTAAAGGGCTGATATAATACGTCTTTATTCCTTCGCGCCTTACAATGAACTCCCCTTCCTACTATCATTTAACCCTTTTAATATATACACTTCTAGCAAGAAAATGAACATCGCTCTTCGTATCAATCACACATATAACGACTAGTAAACTTGAGAGTCTTCTATGCTTTCCTCAACTGTCAATTGCCCGATTTGACATGCACACATACACACACAATTTACTGAAACTAAAACCTTCCACGCTATTTTTCCAACTGTCTTATTTCGCATATCTACTCACGCACATACGGCATACCGATTACAATCGTATAGAAAAAAAATAATTAAAATCATGAATTAAAAAAGGATTGAGGTAAAAACTACCGTATCTTTAATGCCTTTTCTAAATAAAAAGAAAAGAATACGTTAGTATAAAAATAACTTATGTATTTACTTACATATATAAATATATATGCATGTATGTATGCATTTGAGAATATTTGGTATTGTAAGCAAAATCGTGTACGAACGTGGGTGTGCGCAGAAGTGAAATTCCAGTCGATTTGCTGAAGCAAGTACGACAGTGAATTTACAGACAAATTATGCATAGTACATAGACGAGACAATGTATTCGCCTGGTGGATTATTCTCACTACGACCTATATGAATCTGAGTAATCTTTCATGCATGCATTTCCGCTTGATGTATAATCAATTATCCTTCAATATCTTTTTTATCCGTACACATATAGATAGTGCATGTACATGGTAGATCGTTTGATCAACGAATTCAATTGCAATCAAGATTCGGCCATTACCATTACGTTTATGTTTAGTAAGCGAATTCATGAAAATAAATCGATAAATCAGTTTCAATAATTCTGAAAGCCAGATAATTATTATATTTTGGTTGATAAGTTGAGAAACTAAATTGAACAACACGGATTATATCGAGCAAATAATAGTTTTTTCTAGCACACAACCATAGAATAGCACTAGCAAAGATCCGAGGCACCTGTTGATAGCCCTCGTTAAAGTTTGAAGGAAATAACTTGGCCGCCGCTGGACACGCAAGCTGAAAGATAGCTAAGTAATACTCCAACACGCGAAAAATGGTGCTACCTGTATCATTTGTCAAGTATAAACTGATCGGTTAATCTTTGATGCCATAAATTAACATGAAACTTTGTGACAAGTAAGCGAATACGAACTGAGAAAACAAATGTTTTATGTCTCGGTAATGGAAATCCAAATCTAGCGTAATAAATAGGGATATATACTATACACTATATTATACCTAAGTTATTCTTATATTTAAAGTACTATTTAATCTTCTGGTAATCTACTAGAGGCAAAATTTCATATCTATAGACATTAGTTATTTGATATGTTATTAATGTTCAAACTTTTGAACGAATAAACACTTGAAAATAAAAAGACGAAAAAAAAATAATCGGTAAAAATCAAAGAAAAACAATATTTCAATCATCATCTTTACGACGAGATTAGAATAAATAAATCGTGTCTTGGTAAGAGAGGCAGAACAATGCTACCTACCGATAGACTAATAGACCATCGAGAATTCTATTTCTGAAACGCGTTGGTGCAAGCCGTCGTCAGCATGACTCAAGTTGCGTCTGATTGTCAGCTGTCCATGCGAAAACGAAACAAAACGCCATTGACATAGATTTTCACGACACGAATTAGACTTGTGTGTTTGTATATATACATATATATATATATATAAATAAATTTGTACTTCCGCTGTTAATGAAATGGACAACGAAAGAAGCCGAATTCTTTTCCTTTTTACACGTTAGACACGTTTCTCCAAAAATCGCGTAGAAAAAAATAAATTTTCTTTAGTAAAGTAAAATATAAGTTAAAGTTAAAGCTGCGTAAAATAAAGAAATATATTAAATAGGAAAATAGTGAAAAATAAAGTGTTGCGACTTTTTATTTCTTCGCTGTAGTAAAACTTTTTTTTTTAAATCAAAGAAAATACCCATTATATTAAATCATTGATAAACGGGAAACCGTGGGTAAATTCGTCTTACGTTTATTCGTTGCAACCTTAAAATAAGCCGATCAAGGGCCAGACTTGCGCTCAAGCGATCAGCTTTCCCAGAGAGACTTTATCGACTCGTCAATAAAGATTAGAAGAACTCTTCAAATCAAAAGATTGTACATCTGAAGGAATTAACAGTGTTGCTTTTCTTTATTTCTCTCTTTCTTCTTTCAAAATGATGACCAAGTGCATGAAATTTACTTCGAGAAAATAAATGAACAAGGAGAAAGAAATGGCTTTTCCAAGGTAAACTAGTTTTCTTCCCTTTTTTCATTTATCTACCCTTTACCTTATAAAGAAAAGAACGGATAGTTAACGATTACTTGAGGGAAAAAGTAGAAAGTAATTTTCAGTTTTTTTTCTTATAGAGTGTCAGTTAAGAGATACGACTTTGGTCGAAAATAAAAAGATACCTATAGTAAATTTAAATGAAAAAAAGAAAAGGAAATAAGAATTTACAAAAAAAATAATACGTGTGGATTGACAGTGATAATTAGAATGAAAGAATCACTTCACAGCTTTTAGAAATGATGCTTTTTCTGGCAGAATTTAACAAATTCTGGCAAAAGCCCTTTGATATAAAAGGGTTGACAATAGGCTCCGTTAAAATTATCGCTGAGACCTCTGCTTGCGGTGCCTTCAGGCGCTTTGCACAGAGCCAATTACTTTAGAGTTCAGTACATACCCTCCCATGAAACGCATACGCTTGGACATATATTTGAGAAAGAATTCGTATTTTCAGAAATAAAGAAGAATCTATTGATCCATCCATTTAAATTCCTTCAATCGAATTTAAAAACCTATACTTGATCTATTTTTTATCAACAATTCTTTTTACAAAGGTCACAATATTAATTACTTTTTCATTACGTAGATTCCCTACATTAAAGATAGCTCTATTAGTGAACTAATATTATGATCGCGATATTTAAAGTAAAGATCACAAATCGTATAGAATTAGTGTCACTTATTGTGCGAAAATAAAAAGAAGTATTTTTATTTGTAGAAAATCATCAAACGATATTAATACGTTGAATACTTCATTAACTAATGGTTAATCCCATTGGGGGATATAAAATTCTTAATTTTTCGTGGATAAAAAGAAAAAGAAAAAATAATAGACGAGAGACGTGATGGATAAAATATCCAAAAGTTTGATAATAAAAAAGATGTAAAAGAAAAAAAAGAAGAAAGAAATAAAAAACTTACCCCAGCGTAGTCATCGTAACAATGGTGTACCAGAAGGCAGCAGGTATTGAAGTGAAATTGGTACCGTCAACGTTCTTCTCTGCGTAGAACATGACGGTAGCGAAAATGATGATGGCCATGGCAAGGGAAAATACTAAGAAGCCAAGCTCGGATGCGCAGGATTTGAGGGTGTAACCAAGAATCCTGAGTCCCTGGGAGTGCCTGGAGAACTTGAAGATTCGAAATACGCGAAATACGCGTAATGTTACGAAAGCGCCGGAAACGTCGTCGTTATCAGTTATACCGAGACCGATGTAATAGGGCAGTATGGCGACTACGTCGATGATCGACATCACCGATCGCGCGAATTTACAACGACTTGGGGCGGCGAAAAGCCTGAGCAAATATTCGGCGGTGAAGATCATTACGCAGGCTGTATCGAGACAAAAGAACACGATTTTGTATCGTTCGCCGCATGAAAGTGTACCCGCGCGACCCGGTCTATTGCCGCATGGTACAGTTTCAACAACGTTCGCCAACACGCTCACGGCAATGAAGAAACCAGTAACGTAATAGAAAACCAACGCCGCGGTTGAAATGTGCGGATTTTGAAAAGCCCGCCACATCTTCTGTCTTATATCGAGCAACTGTTGAAGATTTTGATCGCCATTTTCGCTTAGTTTGTCGTCCATCAGACGCTCTGCATTTTCGCGTTTGCGATCGCGATAATCCTCGTAACAACAGTCGCCTATCACATCCGGGAGAATGCCGAAGAAAGCGAGCTCCTCGTCGTAGCTCGTAAGACATTCGTGTTTTGGATAATGGAGTTTACCGGTTCTGTAATAATTTAATATATGACGAAAAATGTCCGGATCCCGATCGAAAAAATACTCTTTGCTCTCCTCGTCGTAAAAGAACTCGCGCTCATTCGAACCGAGCAACGTGTCCGGATACTTTTCGAGGGTATTCCTCCAAGTCTCGAATCTACGGCCGCTTACATTAATAAGGAGCTTTTCGTCGTCTGCTTTACGACGATCCTTTGGTATCGGCGGCGGTGGCAGTGGGTGTGTGGCGATCGGCACCCAACCGATCGCCGCCGCACGGGCGAATGGCAGCCACGCTGCCACCGAGGCCATGCTCGACGGTGGAATCTTTCTTTTATATTTCACTCCTTCTCACTTTCTCTCTCTATCTCTCTTTCTCTCTCTATCTCTCTCTCTCTCTCTCTCTCTCTCTCTCTCTTTATCTTTTGCTCTTCTCTTCTACTTTCTTTCCTCTTACCTGCGATCACTATTTCTTGAACTCACCAAAATTGCTGATTTTTATTAAAAAATCCTTTCTAGAATCTTTAGCAAAGCTCACACACATCGTATGCTCAAGGAAGCTTCTCCCTCGCCGTTCCTCGATCGCCAAGGTTATCGACGACGACGATGGAAGCGTCCGAAAGCTGCCAGTGTTTTCCTCTCAACGGTAAAGGTCCGCCGTCCACGATGATATCACGATTTCCTATCCTATTATATTCGAGATCGACCTCGAAACTCCGCATCGTACCACTGCATTCCTCCTCTGCTTTCTTTCTTCATCTCTTCTTCTTCTTCTTCTTCTTCTTCTTCTTCGATCGTCGCACCGTTCAGGCATTAAGACCAAACTTGACGAAGATTTGTCCTTAAACTAAACAGACTCGACCAACTAAACTCTCGAAAACACTGGAGGAACTCGTCTTCCAGCATTCTCGAAACGAGTCCTATCCTTGATTAATAGTTTACTATACTTCTCTTCTCAACTACATTCTCTATTACCGAGCTTGCAAGCTGCAATCTCTTCCTCTACCTTTCTCTTCTTCACCCTTCTTTTTTCACGTAAAAGTAGTAGTAATGAAAACGGACGTCATATTTGAACGAATCGTCTTTCGATTCTCAAAGTTTCACATTAAACTTCCGTCAGGACGAGGGGATCTTTAGATCTTAGAGATCTCGAAGATGACCCGGGATATCACTCGTCACGAGCATGCTTAAGAAAGCTTGCAGATCGCACAAGATTCGTACGATACTTAATGTCGTTTAATATTTACATAGCGTATTTTCTTCGCGCAATAAGCCGGTAAGGCTGATCTTGGCAGTCAGCCGAAAAAAAGCGGCACTCTTAGGATCATCACTGATAAGAAGAATAAATCTCCCCATATATTGTGCACCCTTTGAAACTAATTCCTCCAACCGATATATAATTCAGCGTGTCTCGACGGATAAAAAATATGAAGAACGACGATGAAGGACGGCGTCGGGTAGCACAATGGAAAAAGATTATCGAAGGGCCCAAACGCGTGTGTTTAAAATTACGAGAGCCCTTCTTTCTTATTCTTTTTCTCTCTCATTTTATACGAAAAGCAATAAGCTTTCAATCGTAATGGAATAATCTCTCTTTAATCGTAGCTTTTTCACGTAATTAACTGTAGTTATCGACATTATTGAAAGACGTTGCTAGTCATCGCGGAAAAATAATAAGAAATATAGAAGTAAAACTAGAAAAGCAATTTCTCTGTCGACGTAGCGTTTTGATCTATCGGGCAACTCCTAAAAAAAGCGTCGTGGAGCACTCGCGTGAATTTCCGACCGGGCGAATATCCCCAGGAGGTTCTCACTCGACGATATATTGTCGTCTCGTCGTCGTCGTCGTCGTCGTCGTCGTTGCTTTTGAAGATAACCCTCGTAGAAAGAAAACTTGACGGCGCACGTAGTAATAGTAGTAGTAGTAGTAGTAATGGTAATAGTAGTAATAGAAGAAGGAGAAGAATAGCAGCAACAATAGTAGTAGCAGCAGCAGCAGCGGCAACAGCAGCAGCAACAGCAGCAGCAGCGACGGCGGCGGCGGCGGCAGGAGTGTCGGCGAGCTTGAGTCCTCTCCCGACGCATGTCAGAGCTGAAAGCTCCGCATGCCCGAAAGCATCGTGAAAACGTTCCTCCTCTTTGTCCTCTTGACGTCCATACGTTTGTTGTCGCGTCGTCGTATGGTCTTTCGATTGAAAAATTATTTGTCGTCCGCGTCACCGGCACCTTTTCATTTTGTCTCGTCTGGTCTCGTGTCGTCACGTCTCGTCCTCGTCACGTAAAATCGTCTTGGTCCTTCTTCTTCTTCCTCTTCGTTCTTGCGCTCTAATTCTCCCCGTTGCGCGGCCGAGCTCACGCTCTCGGAAATGCGTGCTTTAGTGCGCGGCACGATCGCAAGCACGAGTCTCTCCTTCTCTCTCTCTCTCTCTCTCTCTCTCTCTCTCTTTCTTTCTTTCTCTCTCTTTCTCTCTCTGTCTCTGTCTTTCTCGTTCCCTCTTTCGCTCTCTCCCTCTCCCTCCCTCTCCCTCTCACTCGCTCTCTCTCTCTTTCTCTCTCTCTGTGTAACCCGCTCGAACGAGTTGACCACTCGCGACTGCCGGAACGTTTCCGAACTCGGTGAGCTTTCGGTGCTTGCGCTGCTACCGCTGCTGCCGGTGGCGCGGCACAGTGGTGGTTGACGCTGACGATAGCAATGGTGGAGGTTAAAGGTGGAGGGAATGAGAGGTAGAGAAATAGAGAAAGAGAGAGAGAGAGAAAGAAAGAAAGGGAAAGAGATAAAGAGGGAGGTGGTAAAGCCGCGTAAAGCTCGACGCCTCGACGAGAACCGTGTACTCGCCTAGGCTCTTCTTGCCTCGCTTCACTTCGTCTAAACTCGGCTCGGTTTGACTTTTTTCGAGTGACGACGAAATGTAGTTTACAATTAGAGCCGATGATCACCGTTTGCTATGTCGGTCTTTGATCGCTTCCTTGCTCGAACGATTGCTCGAGCGCTTGCTAGCTAGCTAGCTAGCTAGGTAGCTAGATAGCCAGCTAGCTAGCTCGCTAGCTTGCTTGTTCTCCTAGCCGACATCTAAATTGATTTTTACGGTACGCCGCCGGTGGCGACGCGCCACGGCTTCCAAAAGCGCCGGACGACTCTCGTTGCCCGGGCAACCCCTTAACGATGACGTCACACTACCCTCTCGCCAGCCCTCTTTTCACCCTGTTTCTCTTTCTCTCTCTCTCTCTCTCTCTCTCTCTCTCTCTCTCTTTCTCTTTCCTCTTTCCTCTTCCTTTTCGAGAATCCATCTCAAACGCAAAATTCGATATCTTCTTTCTTAAATACTCATTCTTCTTTTATTCCTGTCATTCTACCTCATTCTATCTCAGAAACCTACGTTTGAGCTAGCGCGCTTCTTTTCAACTCGATGACATTCTGCATCAGACAGGCCAATTATTCCTTGACTTCATTCATTAAAAGGAAAAACGATTGCAACCAAGAGAATTGGGATTCGATGGCCGTTTACATATGTGCTCGCTCGAACGAACGACGAATCAACTTGGAGTGTAATTTTCATAGTGTAATACTCCTTTATATTTTACTCATCAACTATCTTCCCTAAACGGAAAACATCTCTCTCTCTCTTTATTTTCTTTCTCTTTCTTTCCTTCTTATTCTCACTCTCTTTCTCCCTTTACGTAATGGTGTCACTAGGAAAAACAAGTGACGAAAGACACGAAAAAAGAGGTGACGTCAGTATATCCAGATTGGATGACTGAAATCAACGAGAAGAGCACTATGCCTCGCCGCCAGGTAAATTTGCGCCACTAATGAACGTGCGAAAGAGTGCAGCCTCAAAATGTGAGTGTACACTCCCGTAACAACGTCGGTAACGTTCCCTTAAGAGCACCGTTGCAAAATATTACAAGTTACAACCACTTTTCCGTCCGTCTTGCCTCTTTTTCTAAACGAGAACGTGTCGTATGACTATGGACTCTTGATAGTAATAAAAATTAAAAAAAAAATATATCAATGTTACTGTTGTTTTTAATATTGATTTAAATATCCCTTCAAAAATGTATTGTAAAGGTAGACTTTCAGATTAAAAAACAAATCTAATTTTTATTAATGATAATTGTTAAGGCAAATTTCCAAATTAACAATTCTGATTTTTCGTCAAGAAATTCAAGAAAGAGAGAGACAGAGAGAAACTTGATTTTTTTAATTGCGTTTGACATGTTTAATTACCAGCTCCTTCACATGGCCAACGTATGTGCGTCAGTTTGATCTTATTCCGGTGAATAATTTTGTGTTCTTAATTTTTTACCAATCTTTAAAGATAAAAAATCACGAGGAAAACATAAATGACGTAAATTGTGAAAAAGGTGACAGAAATTTTTCAATACACTGAAATTTCTTCCAAAGAAAATTTCGCGGTTATATATGAAAAGATGCTCTAATTGTAAGTATATATCACAATTAAGAATCACATTAGAAATTATTTAATAACTGGTGATATATTTAAGTAACTCCAACGTTAATTAAAGAGAGAATTGAAAAGAAACGTATAATATACTCGGCAATAAGATTTGTCTGGCATGTCACTTTTAACACTTTTTTTAGAGGATACAACAAATAGATCAAACTTAGTATTTTTATTTAATTAATTTAAAATAAAACTATATACGCGTGATGAAGGAAATTAATATCGTATGCAAGAAAATATATCTGGTGCCCTACTGGCAATGGAAAATTACTTTTTTATGCAACCGACACTGCGAAAGAAAAGTGGAAGTAGATAATGACCGCCTTAGTCAGCCAAGTATAATATAACGCAGATGGCTGTCATGCAATTTTGATTTATAGGTAATTTAAACCCGTTGGATTTTCTTGATAATCTTTGCGCGATATAGTAAGCAAAATGTGAAGTAGAAACATTTTATCAAAAAATTAAAACTTTAACTAATCTTTGTATATTACACATAATTTTGTACGTTGCTAAAGATTGGATTATAAGTACCGAATGTGTGTATGAAAAGAAGTCACAGCGATGTAAACTTCAAAATTTCGTGATTTTCATCTTTCGCGAAAATAAATTTATAAACGAATAAAAGTTAACAAAAGTCGAATTAGGAATAAAATTAGTTTCGTCTCGTGTTGTAAAATGAAAAATGATAGCAAAGAAATAACTAGATTTAGTGTTCAAATTGTACATAAAGACGATTTTTATTTTTTTAAATACTTTTTGGACATCGATACTTTTCGTGGTATTTTCAGCTTACTTCTCATTTTCTTCTTAAATTTTCGCAAATGTCGTAATGCATTCGATTCTTTCATTCTCCTCTCGTGTACGCGGATATTACACGACGCGTCGATCATACATATTAAATACTCGTCGAGCTCTACGAAAGATTTTCACGATTATTATTTAACGCGAAACTTATATTAAAATATTTTTATCTATTCTAAGCTATGAAAGTAAGAGCAAGAGTCAAAACCAAAATGATATTACGACAATGATAGCACAACGGAGGAAAAGTAGGCCGATTATTGAAAGAAAAGGGGACGGTAAACTTTATTAATAACCATCTATACGAAATAACTTCTCCCCCCTCCGAAGCTTTTCACGTCTTTCTTAAAATCGATTGGTCATCTTACAATTCGTAATACTGAAAGAAAACCGATGGTCCTTTAATAGTATTAAATGATATAACATAATGCATACTTCTCGCTTTGACCTATTCTATTCCATTAAAAACCATCACATGAAGTCACATAACGAATCAATCGTAAAGCTCGATACTTTATATCGTAATTATTTTGTACATTGGTTATATGTACGAGCGTCGAAAACGGTAACGCTCCGTCCCGCCCTCACTCTCTTTTTTTCGTTCTTTCAAAATTGTTTGCATTCATAAAGTCAATAAGAAAGGTCAGTACGACCGGTAAGTGAAAGCACATCGAAAAACTTGATTTCTTCCTGTTCTTTTCCATTTCTTCTTAAAACCAAACTTTTCTTCTGACAGATCTTGTATTCCTTTCTCTTTTCTTCCCCTTGACTTCTTTCTTCCCTTTTATTTCTCATCTCGTAAATAGCGTCAATAATTCGTGTCAACCGTCGATTATGAATGACAACCGTTATAGCATAAGCAACAATTATATACACATTAAAAAGCGTCATTACAATTATCGATTGCGAATACTCGTGGATTACTAAATTACATGCCACATCCAGATACATCGTTCGTTCGCGATCTTATAAGACTATATAGTTTGTATAGCTTTTCATAGTTTATGTATCTTCGAGTAAATTGATTTCCATTTAAACAGATACGGCTGCTTATTCCTGCCCATTCATCCGGTCGCTGCATCTTTCGTCGATCGATTTTCGTTGCAACGCGTCCTTTATTATATATATGATATATGTATATCTTCGCATACCATCGTGGCACAGAATCGAAAAATGTCGTTTCTTATTATCGTAATAAAGATTTCAATTCATTCACCCTTCCTCTTTGTTTTTATGGAATGTATAATCCACGATCAATGATATTTGCATTAGTTAAATAAATCTATAAAAATAAAAAGCAAGGAAAAAAAGGACTTGATTGTTATAATATTTAGTATGTTGGATGTATATGCATATACATATACATATAACTTCTTGAAATTACGTTAATATGTTGGTAAAATTCTTTTCTTTAGAGTTTTCGATCGATTCTTTCGCAGACCGCATACGAAACGATTGCGATCGTTGTTTCGTTATAAATTATCGAAATATGTTCATCAATATCGCTGTACGTTTTGTATATGTTTAATAGAGATCAAAAAAGTGTTCATCGGAAGTAAAGTGGTGTGGAATGTAAATTTGGGCAAATATTTCTATGTAAATGTTACTTGAGTAATTCGACGCTTGCGCTCGTTTCATAATTCGTTTCATAAAATATTCATAAAACAAAAATTTTTGAAGCAGGTGAAACGAAGGAGAATATATATGGTG